CAATATATATACTACAAGACAATATATTATGCATGACAATTTAGTGTTTTACTATTGTTTTTTATTTTTCTTTTTCGTCAATCACTTTAATAATTAGATCTACATATATACTACATATATATTTTTAATATAGCCATGATACTACAAGAAATTGCCTTTAAAAAAAAACTCGCTAGGCCCGCGAAGCCCACGAGCCCGGCCTGTTAAGCCCAGGACCATGTGGGCTTAGGCCTGTCACGGGCCGGTTCCACCCGTTGAGCCCACGAAGCCCGGGACCGCTAGGCCCGGGACCGCTAGAGCCCAGGCCTACAAAGCCCGGCCCGTTTGGCCTACGAAGGCCCGGGCCCGGCCCAGAATACAGCACTATCCACATACCCTGACTGTTCTGAATTCTGGACAGTTGCAGCTTCTTTCTTCTACCTCTAACTTGCGCATGGAAAAATTTATATTCCTGTCACCATCTTTAAACCAAGACATTCCAGATTTTTGTTTCCAGTATTTTTCTTCCAATGCTAGATATCTGATCAATTCAGTCTGTACCTTCTGCAACCTTTGTCTGTTTTGTTTTGTAGGGTTAACTTCAAACTCTGCTTCATGCACAATTACAACCTCCTCAAAACTAGCTATTTTTTGAAATATGTCCCCATATGTTGATTTACCCCATCCAGATAGAGCCTTCTTGACCTTCTTCAGCTTATGATTGAACAGAACATATTGGTTTGCACTGAAGTCAGCATTCCAGTTCTGCTTTACTACCTCTTTGAATGAAGCATGTTCCAGCCAAAAATTCAGAAACCTGAAGGGTTTCTTGACTGGGGGATTCTTTATATCATATCTAAGTTGCATAGGGCTATGATCAGACCCTATCTTTGCCAAATGTTGAACTTCAATACCTGGAAAAATCTGCTGAAATTCTGATTGGCCACACATCTGTCTAGCCTTTTGAAAATACAATCCTCCTCTGCCCTGCCAATCCACCATGTGAATATACTACCCTTAAAACCAAGATCTGACAGGTTACAAGTATTTATACAATGCCTGAAATCATCTATTTCATTCAAGTGTACTGGAAGACCTCCAAATTTTTCCTCCTCATCCCATATAACATTGAAATCACCTCTTACCAACCATGGAATAGTCATATCTGATGCCATATAATACAATGAATCCCACAGTTCAGTCCTTTCAATAGCATCACACTTAGCATATACCAGAGTTAGAACAAATTCCACATGAGTCTCAGAGTGATATAGCCTTAGAGTTAACTGCTGCACCAAGTTATACATAACTGTAACCTCATATACTTCATCTATGAAAGCCCAGATCTTATTTGATACATTAGAAATCGCCTGAGCAAAGCCTATTCTGTTTCTATACCTTTCCAAAGTTCTTGCTTGTTGCATAGGCTCCATTAAACCAATGAATTCATAGTGCTTCTTTCTATGTGATTTGATCAGCATCTCAAATGCTTGCTGAGTGTTAACTGATCTAATATTCCATATGAGAGCATCCATTACTGTTTGGATAAAGAAAGTGACAAATTTCTCCTTGTTTGAACTCCTCCTGCAGGCACAGTTGGGTTCTCTTTCTGATGTTTCTTCCTCCCCTTTGCTGCAGATTTGGCCTTCTCAATGATTCTAGGAGACAAATCACCTTGCCTGGCTACATTTTGGAAATTTTGAGTTGTGGACTCTTCATCTAGATCTTGGCATGCCCTTGCATCTTTATCTTCTACTTCTTTAAACTTCTGAGCATCAGCAACACTAACATCATGCTTGTGTTGCAAATTAGGCACCAAAGTCTGCTATTTCATATCCTGCATTCTAGATTGCTCCAAGTTACCGGTTACAATTACACCATCCCCAGTTCCTCCTGAATCAATTGCATCGGTGCCAACTCCTTCCTTTATATGTAACTGATCTGTGTTGCCTTCCTGAATCTGTTTTGTTGTGTGTTGTTCCTTTGCATCAATTTTTTCCTTTGGGACAACTGTTTCATCATTGTTGTTGTCCCTTTCAGTTTTCCTCTTTTCTGCAGCAATTTCTTCTTTATTTGTGACTGTAACAGTTTCCTCTCGATTTACACTTTTTTCCTCTTCTTCTTTTTCTTCAAGAACTGGTTCTTCATCATGTTTAGCCCCTACAGGAACCTCATTTTCGTCTAAATCATCTTCCCTTTGTTCTGACCAAAGTTTACTTCCACTCCATTGTACTCTCTCCTTCATCTGAGGAAGGAAATTCTCATTTGTTTGGATTTCTAGAATGTTGGCCATCTCCATTTCAACCATTGTATCCTGTGAAGGAATGTCGTTACAAGATGTGTTGACTTCCACCAATGTATTGCCTATGAAGGTCTTTTGGACCCATTGAGCTGTTGTTTCCTTGGGTTTATTAACCATTGCCTCACTTCCTCCATTAGTTGAACCTACACCAGCTGAACTTATATTAAACTCTGGAGCTGCAGGATTAAGTTTTTCACCCTCATTGCCTATCTGTTGTTTTTGCTGAAATGCTGCTTCTTTTTTCCTTCCTGCTGTACTTCTCGGAGTTGTCTGCACCTCACCTATTGCCATTTGATTACCATTTCCACTTTGAGTATTATGTTTGCCATTGCCTTGATTTCTTTTCTTTGAGGGGGATGCAACATCCACATGACTAATTTCCTGCACCTCTTCTATGATTGCCAACTTTTTACCCAGCACTTCATTAAATTCATCATCACCTAGTGCTGCAAATTTGTTTGTGATCTGCACCTGCTGATTGTTCATGGTCACAATAGCATTTGTTTTAACAGGCACCATTTCTTTCCCATTTTTCGTACCTCCTTCATTTACATTCTCCTTAGCTTTACCTCTATTATCCCGTACCTCCTTCCATTGAGCACTTGGATTGCCAACTACCTTACCACTTGACAAGATCATCAAAGGACCTGCCCCCTTACCATGTTGAGTATTAGCAACCTTCTCAGTCACATTGATGTCCTGCTTCTCATCTGATTTCTTTGGGAACAATTCAGGATGTAACCTCCAGCAATCCATCATATCATGCCCTTGCAATTTACACTCCTTGCAATATTTAGGAATGTAATCGTATTTGATGTTCACCCACTCCGTTCTCAAACCACCTGAATCCTCATCAATAATATCCATTCTCACTTTCTTTGGCAGCTCATCCAGTAAATTCACCAACACCTTCACACGAGCACAGCTAGGCCTCGTCTTTTTAATAGTAGCCAAATCTAGGTGTTGTGGAATTCCTACTGCTGAAGCCAAAGAAAATAAACATTCTTTGACAAAATAAGTAGGCAACATATTAGGAAAAGAAATCCAAGCTATAACCTTAGGTGTTTCCTCTACAATTTTAAATTTTTAATCATAAATCAAGGTCCTTAGCTGATACTCCTCCCCATACTTGTCTTAAACATAATAAACGCTTTTTGAAGAAAAATCAACATAGTCTTGCCATAAAGTCATACGAATTAGAATGTGCCTGTCACATAAGAATCCAATATTACACTCACCCTTAATTTCACATTGCAATGGAACTATCCGACGTATTTCATTGATGTCAGGCCAACCATAAGAGAATTTGCAGACAATTGCATACTGCATCCCTTCAATTATATTCATTCGTCAAACCTCAGCTTCAGTAAAGCACACAGTTGGCTGTCCCTGAAAGATTTTAATTCGTCGAGGTGAAATTGGTTCCACAGACGCAGCAGCAGCAGTCTGCATGGTACTGTTCATCGGAGGCTTCAGAACTTTCGCATAATCCATTAGTTTTTGGGTGTTATCTGTGGTCGTCGATGGCTGGGGATTGTTGGGGGTGGTTGTATAGGTGGCCCCGCCACAGTAGGTGGTTGACCATCGGCCGGATTGGCCATGGGAGCTCGAAACTCAACTTTCTCTCTCTAATCGCCTTTCTCGTCGCCCTAGCAGGTTTTTGGTATCTCAACTAGATATAGGATTTTTAGTTAGTATAATCAACAGGTTTTTTGACTTATTTGAATTTACTATCGTTCTTAATAAATCCCTAATTATTTGTATTAATGATATATTACTATTGGACCACTAGCAAGTGTCGAAGTCGACCTCTCGTCTCTACTTCTTCGAGATTAGAAGGGATACTCACTGGTACATGTTGTTTTCGTACTCATACTACACTTTCTGTGCATTTTTTGTTGCACATGCACATGCATCTCTAGTGGCCTACTGGGCATAGCATCATGGTTGATACATAGACTTAGGTGAGCTGCACTTCTCGAGACAACCCATAGCCAGCAGAGTCTCTTTCAAATTACTGTATTTTCATTCTATCCAATTTGTATTCAGGACATTTATTGTACTTTATTTCATTTCCTAAAATTTGCTCACGCACTTGTGATGTCGGGTTCTGGGATGATATGGAGTATTTTGCATTAACTTCTTAGCAATTGTATTTAATTTGAAATGTTTATATTTTACTAGTAAAATTGAAGGAAAATCATAGCTTTCAAAATTATTAAAACGAGAATTTAATTAAGTATTTTTGGTTGGCTTGCCTGACAGCGGTGTCCGACGCCATCACAACCTTTAGTGGATTTTGGGTCGTGACAACATGGTATCAAACTACTAGGTTCCCTTAGGTCTCACGAGTCATGAGCGAGTCTAGTAGAGTCTTGCTTATCGGTAGGGAGACGTCTGTACTTATTTTCGAGAGGCTACAAGGCTGTTAGGAGCACTTCCCTTCTTGATTCCTCATTGTGCGGTTTAATTCCTTTGAGGCTTATGCCTTTATTTCCTTCCTATTCAATCTTATGCGACGTGAAATGCTTGTTATCAATTGGGAATTGAGGAATTGTAATGGTACTACAGATGTGGTGCGGGATGTTTCTCCCGGTATAGTTGGTTGGGCTATTATCGCCGTCTTGCGGAAGGATTTCTCTATTGTTTCAGCTCAGTAGTTATGCTTCTAAGAGCTTGGAGGCTATGCACAGGTTCCTATGATGCTCACGATTGGTTATCACACAGTATTGACTTGATGGTAGGCTACTTGCCTATGTGTTGGGGCGGCGAATGATTTGAAAGGAAGTCTACTCAGTGCACGATTCAGAGATCTGATATTTCATTTCCGGCGAAGGAAAATCAATTGGCCTATGAATGTCTATATTTGGGGTGATGGAGTAACGAGACTTGGTATTTTCGAGCGTGGTGGAATTTTCATCTGCGATGTAGTGTCGTCGTCCTCGATTGTATGTATTAAGTTCGTCGATGTTATGGTCTTCTTCAATTTGGCTTTAGGGTAAGATATTGTGAAATAATATTGGAAAAACGACTATTAGATATTGCGTGGTACGGTGGGTCAGGATTGAATCGATGTTTCTAATGTTGACGACTCGAGAAAGATGATATTCGGAAAGGTTTAAAGTTAGTAGCGATTTGTGGGTTCAAGTGCTATGAAGATAGATTTTATTTAAGGAAACAACATAAAGGAGTTGCTTGAAATGAATAAGGATAGAACATAACTTTGAATTGGAAGGATATTGTAGCATATTTAATTGATGTCCACGAGGGGTGAATGGACTTTTGCAGCTAGAGAGTGAGCTCAGACTCAGGGTGGGTTATTAATGTCGTAGTGATTGTACCCCGTGCAGCAGTGTTGGAATATGTCGGCACGCAAGTTCCACAGGTGGGTTATCTCCAGTGAGCAGATCGGCGGTCGCATGGTTGGCAAAGCTTCTACGAAGAATTCTATTAGTTATACAACAAAGAGGTCGGTCGTGCGAATGTGGTTGATGATTCAGAGTATAAAAAGGGGGTTTTACAGAAAGATTCCGAGAATTTTGGCGGTTGATTGCGCAAGTTTATGTCAATAAGAGATAAAGAATCCTGGTGAATTCTAGAGTTGTGTAATAGTGGCTTCAAGCTAAATGGGAGAGTCCCTCCGCCTATGATTGGGTTGCATGGTTAACTACTTGAGAGGTTTCTGGTTATTAGCATATTGATGGGTTATTTCAGCTACGGGAAAAGAACATAAGTGGTAATTTGAGCAAAGGAATTATTAAAGGTGTGTTATGGTTGGCCTTATTGGCTCATGTTCAGACTTGGGAAACGATTCAGGATTTATGCCTTGTATAGATGCGGGTTTCAAGGGAAGTGATTCTGCTAGGTGCTTCGTCGAAAGGGTATTCATGTGCTAGAATATTCATGGAGTTGATTATATTCAGGTCCAAGTCAAAGCGGGTGGCTCTTAACAACGGTTCTAGTGAATTCAAAGGAGTAAAGTGTGGTGCCTAATGATTTCGAGCCTATAGGTACGGTTAGGAATCAAGCCTTGTAGCAGCTTATGAGAAGAGGCCCAGAATGTTCTATGATGTTTTGACTTGTAGTGTAGCACTTGGGAGGTATAAAATGGTTTGTGGGATTTGAGACAGCATGGTCTCGTGATTCAAAGTCACTCGGGATGAGTGCGGATGGAGTGCGTTATGTGCTGAATGGAGTTATTATTATTTCTAAGGAAATCAAGGATAAACTGGA